ATAGACGTACATTTTTCGGGATTAGTGCAAATGTCCATAATCCTCCAAGCATATTACCCAAATCATAATTCAGATAATCATGCGGGGAAAATAATGTGGAAACAATTACTGGACATTAATACTATACTGTGTGGCGTTTCATCAGATGAAATTAATTATCATGGGTTTGATTTAAACGAAACCTCTTGCATGAAGTATGCACCGATCACTTCAGTGGATGTAGAGCGTTCGTTTTCGATGTATAAAAACATCCTGTCAGACAATAGAGTCAGTTTCACTTCTGAAAATCTTACCAAATACATGGTAGTAAATTCTTTTTTTAATTTAAATTAATTTTTCAAATGTTTTTTATTCAGTTTTATAAAATTATAACTAATTCGTGTTAATTTTTAGTCGTGCTTTTTTTTTGCTTTTTTTAAAAATAAATATGCTTCATTTTTGCTTTTTTTAAACAATTTTATGCTTTTTTTGTTATTTATTATGCTTTAAAATCCGAGCCCTATTCATAAATATGTGTAATATTTAAAAATCATTAAAAAGTATTATGCATGATTTACATTTTTAATTGCAATTTTATTACACTCCATCAAAAACATAGAAAATAGTTCATGTGCTTCTAAATTTCTCAAACGGTCCTGAAATTATTCAAAATTGCTGTGTTTAAAAATAGTGATAAGTAAAGCTAAAATTAAAAAAGCGAGAATTATAAAATTGACATGGCTTAATTTTGTATGACCTAATAAACGAATTTATCATATAAATTAAAAGTGTATATAAAAATTTATTGTATAACATTGCCATATTATTTTAAATCTTATTTACTTTTTTTCGATAACATACTACTGCTCAGTAATAAAAACCTCATTTGGAAGGAATAAAGAAAAAGTCCATTGTTTAAAAACGTTGATTAAAATATATAAATAGAAAATGTGTACTGTTAGACTAAATATCAAGAATGACAAGGTATCGGAATTAAATAAAATAGGATAAATAAAAAAAAAGTTTGTAGAACATGCAAAATTAACCAAAAACTTAGAAAAAAATTTTTATGAAACGTGCTTAAAAAACAAGCAATTATTATAATATGGTAAATATTTTATAAAAACAATGTAGGAAGACATATTTTACGATTGATGTTAAATTTATGTATGTAGCAAAAGAAATTAATAATTTGTGAGGTATTCCAATACTTTATCATTCCGCCTACAAAAAATTAAAATATTTATAACTCAAAAACTATTGGTCCAAATGTCGATTGTTACATATTTAAATAATTAGTAAGATATTTTGGTTGATAATATAAAGTTAAATATGTATGATAAAAAAAGTAAAAACTTAAAATTTTATATGATAAAAATATGAGTTAGTTTTAAAAATAACTTTAGCTGTAGATATTAAGCGAAACAATGTTTTCAAAAACCTTAATTGATGTTGAAATAGTGAGTGCTTTTCGATGAATGAATTATTCATTATATGCTCACACAAAATATTTTTTTATTTGTTTTAGATTTTATTTTAAAACGTTGGAATGTTTTTAAAATCCGTAAAGTAATAGTTAAATAAGTAAAAAAAAAAAAATATTTGTTTTTATAAAGATATACCTGAGAAGTAATGACTGGTTCGGAAACTGCATCTATTAGACTAGTGTACATTTCATTATAATTCTTTGTAAATTTCCGATGAAATCTATATCGTATGATGAGAAATTCAATCCTATTAACATATCGCCATGTTGAACAACTGTTTAGCTTCTCAATTAATCTCAACATATCGTTCTTGTTCGTAAATGATAGGCATGTAAATTTTGACTTTCCCAAACTCCAATCACCAGGCCTAATAGAGTTTTCCCAATTATCTAACTTTAATAAACCCTGAAAATAAAATTTTGTTAAACGATTAATTTTATAGCTCATTTAAAGCGTTAAAAGTAAAATTATTTTATCTAAGAGAAATTATCGGGAAAAATATATCATATATTACATTATATTCAATTTTTTAATAATTACCACGATTATAAATAAGATAGATTGATTGATTAAAAGAAATGTTTATGTTATTATATTAATTATATTTAGTCGATAGTTATAGTTGTTATTTGTGGGACTTTGAAGTAACAATTTTTTATTTTAATAACTAAGAACATACGAAACAAAAATTAAATACTAAATTATTTTTTAACAAATTTAAATCATTTAATAATTTTTTCGCTAATAAAGATTTTTAAGTGTAAAATTATTTTGGTTGTAGTAATAAATAAGTCAAATAACTATGTATACACGAGTTTTTATAAGAATTAAAAAAAAAAAAAAAACCCTAAATTCTCAGTAGTTTTATACGAGTATGAGATAATTAATTGGTTTTCGTAACAGGTTAAAAGTAATAGTGAATATTTATTTTTAATTTCTAATTTGCCCACTATGGGTGGGATTTAAATACATTCACGGTAGTTCGTGCCTGTCGTAAGAACCGACTGAAAAGAATCTAGGGTGGGCAGCAGCGCTTCTAATATTAGGTGTACATAATAAAGATTATCTACACTCGGCCACTAATCCTTAGAAATAGGGTTTGGACTGTAATTTAGAAGGCAAAGGAAAACCACCATATTAACATCCTTAGTTAGGCAATTACTACTCTTGTCTTCTAAAATAGATTCTCGCTGTGTAAAAATTTTGTCCTGATGTAGATTAGCTCCCCGTTTGGATGTCCGAGTGGGATATACCGTGCAGGATACATAAAAGCAGAGAATAGGAACGTGAAACGTATAAATAATGTAGAACACAGAAAAGCTGGAAAATAAAAAAATATAAATGAAAAGATTAGATATAGACATATTAGCATTATGCGAAATACGTTGACCAGAGAATGGTGACTTTTGATTAGATGATTTTAATTTTATCCATAAAATGGTACAAAAGGACAAGCCGGTGTTGGAATAATTGTTAGAGTAGCAGATTATTTTTGGTTAAAAAGGAGTCAACATCAAACAATCTGGTAATTATACAAGTTTATGGAACAACGTCAAAAGCAGATGATAAAGAAGTAAAAGAAATGTAAGCAGGCATGGAGGAGCTTTTGAAACATGTTAATCCACACGATAATGTAATCATGATAAGATATTTTAATGCTATGTTTGGTGAATGCGGGGAAGGTAGAGAAATCGGAGACTTCGGCTAAGGAATAATAAATGCAAGAGGAGAGAAAATAGTAGAGTTCTGTAGAATAAATTGGATGGTTATAACGAATACCAGATTTCAAAACTTCAAGAGAAGAATATACACTCGAAAAATGCCAGGCAACGTTTCCCCCTACCAAAAACTTTAAATACTGGTGAGGAAGTGCTTTAAGAACCAAGTTAAAGTTCTGTAAAATATACCGGAGTGCTGATTGTGACAGTGATTACAATAATAAAGTTATAATTAAAAACAAATTCCGCTATATAAAACACAAAAGCCAAAAGTACAGCAAAACAACTACTTAATAGAGCAGAGGTAGTGGAACAATATAGATACCACATGGACTGTGAATAAAAAGGAAATGCAGATGATCCGTTGAATAAAAAATGGGAGAACATAAAATCAACTATCTTTAATGCGGTGGATAATGTTTTGACAAAAAAAGAAAAGAATCAACAAAGAGGAGCATGGATAGACAAGGAAATAGTAATTTTTATAGATGAAAGACAAAAATATAAAAACAATAATAAAAGATGAGAATAACATAAGTTTTTTTCCCAACGAAGTAATCAGGATGATTGAGAAGCCAAAGAAGCCAAATAAGATGATTGGAACAATAGCATGGCGAAATTGATGTGCAATTTAATGTTAACAAAATAAGTTATGCGTATTGCAGGATCCAAGAATTAATTGGAAAGAGAAAACAAAATTTCTCTAATATGAGAGTTAAAAAAGGCCAATTACTAGTTGATGATAACATAATAAAAAGATGGAGAGAATACATTGAAGAGCTTTACAATGGAAAAAAACTGGAGGAAATGACAACAAATGAGGGAGTAATGAAATTACCCATTTTCAGATCAGAATTTAAGGCTTTATGACTTGAAACAAAATAAAACGCATGGGGAACAGATAATAAAATAGCAGAATTATTGCAATGTACAAAGCATGAAGATAAAAAGCGCTTTGTATCAACTAATTAGGGATATATATGAAAAAGGAGGATTGCCAGATGAACTATACCAAGAATTATACCAATGAAAAGTGGAGCAAATTCCTGTGAAAAGTTTAAAACTGAGTCTACTGACATATGCCTCATAAATCTTAACAAAAATAATAAAATGAAGAATAGAAGAAAAAGTGGAGCAGTACTTTAAAAATGACCAATATGGATTTAGAAAACAAAGAGGTACACGAGAAGCAATTTTAGGACTATGAATTTTAATTGAAAAACAGATTGGTAAAAATAAAGTTACATATTTGGCCTTTATAGACCTGGAAAAAGCTTTTGACAAAGTAAATTAGAATAAAATGCTGCTCACACTACAAGAAATAGATGTTGAACAGCAAGACCTAAGAATTATCCACAGTCTCTATAAGAATCAGACAGCTTGCATTGAAAAAGGAGAAATTACTACAACTAACACTCAAATAAAAAAGAAGTATGATAAGACTATACGTTATCACCAGCAATCATTAACTGCTATATCAAAAAAGTTAAATAAGTTAAAAATAAATTAAAAATAAAGCTAAAAAGACTAAATACTGGAATCTAAATTAGTGGAGAACATGTTTCAAAGATACTTTTTGCCGATGATATCGTGATAATAGTAGAGATTGACGGGAACATACAGCGTGCAATAAAATTGAAGAAACGGATGAAATGCTCAGAACATCAGAAATGAAAATAATAGTTTGTGCCAGAGACCCAAAAGTAAAAGCTAATGTATAAATTGATAGCCAAAAACAGTAGCAAGTTGAGGAAATGGTTTATCTAGAAAGAAAAATTACATCTGATGGTTAAGAATCATTGTCACTACTTTAGTTTGTTTAAGAAAATGTATTCATCTTTACCTAGATATTACTAGATTTGACATTCGAGTTATAACGCGAGGTCTAATATAAGTAGAAAGTGTTTTAAATAAAATTAAATATCAGAAAATTTTAGTATTATTTAGAATTATATTAAATATCTTAGGATTAATTACTCTGCTTATTTCTTTAACTTGTAAAAACATATAATGTTGATCCTCTTTAAAATATTCACGTTTAAGATATTCTTTTTCATACTCCATCAATTTCTGTATATTTTTATTCATGTCCTTTAAAGTTTTTGTATCATCAGGGCTAATTATTATTCCATATAATTCCATTAACCATTTATAGGCGATAAAACAATTTTCTATTTGAAATTCCTTCGCCGAATAATCGTATTTTTTTTTTGCTATGACATCATACAAAATTGTTAATGATCCATATTTTTCGTAATAACGTTCAACATTTTTGTAATCATAGTTCGTAGTATAGAAGCTTATTTTTTCATGAAACATGACGAAAACTTCAAGTAATTTGATTGCTTAAAAATAAAAATAATAAGATAAGTTTTAAATTTATGTTGTAACAATATAAATTTAATTAGGTAACGTAAAAAATCAAGGATGTTTGTCTTACGATACGTTAAATCTTTTTTTTTTTTAAATTCATTAAAACAACTTAAGTAGTTTATAAGATTATGTATGTCAATGTTTTAAATTTATAATGCATATTATATTCATTATTATTTTTAAGAACAGTTACTTGGATTTGAGCGGTGCGTAAAGTATTGAAGAACGTGATGAAACAGGTTACAACTAAGCCAATTAATGAATATACTCGTATTTTACACAATGATGAATTATCATGTCAACACCTTATTACGCACGTATTAATAATAATAATATTGCATATACAATTTTTTTGGTAAAACCTAGTGGATAGTGAAACTGTACCTATGTCGATTAATTAATACTGATTTTTTTTAATTGATAGCAATAATTGGATGATTAAATTAGTATAATATTTCAGTAAATACCCATTTTGACGTTTTGAATATTTGCTTTATATTTTTCTGATTTCGTGTCCATATTTGTCACCGAAGTGACAATTAAATGTAATACGTTTTCGTTGATAAATTGCTCGTGTGATATTAATTCCTGAAAATATTAAGGAATATACAGGGGGTTTCACGACGAACTAACAATTGCAATTACTTTGGTTCTACTGAACATTTTCAACTTTTTTTTTTTTTTAGATTGTCAATTGCCGTCTGCGCTACATTTAAAATATTTTTTGATATTTTTTTAACATTTTTTATGTAAAATTTTAAAATTTAAAAAATTTATTATTTGATATTTGAAAAATTCAAAATAGCCATCTTGTTGATATGGTTTTTAAAATATGTTTGTAAAAAAAAAAATGTAAAATGTTCAGCCGTTTATTTTCTACAATTTTTTGAAGTTTGCACAAATTTATATTATTTCCAAGCGAATTGTTTGATCCGACTTAGGTTTTTACTATCTCGATTTTTCCATGAAAAAATCCAACGTATCACGGGCCACCGCTTCAGATAGTATTTTCTATGTTTATTTATGATCATATCAAGGTGGGTCTGTCTATACCTTAGATCATATACAATGGATAGAGCCATACTAACTATTTGTGAAGCCAACATCATTGTAGGACCTCGGTGATATGCGCATGCGTGTGGTTTCTTATCATTAATGTTTGGCGCAGAGCAGGGGCGCAGTTAAGATAAACAAGTAACAACACTAACAACTATAAAATATGTTTTTTAAGTTTCTTTAATTGTTATTTCTTAACACATTTACGAAAATCAGTTTCTGCAAAGTGAAATGAACATAATAATATTAAATAATTTTTATAATTTTTAATATTTGTTTGTTCAAATGGTTTGAAAATTCAAATTACCTAAAGTCAATTTTAAGCGGGAAAACAGATTGATATATTATGATAAGCAGTAACGCATGCGCAGATGTCACAGGTCCTATAGTAATGTTGGCATCAACTCATTTTATACACGTAATATGCTATGACACCATCCATTGTATATGATCTAATGTCTATACGCAGTCGATTAGAGCAGGGATTCCCGAAAGGTGGTCCGCGGAACCCCGGGGTTCCGTGGAAGGGCCTCAAGGGTTCCGCGTACCGTCCAAAAATTAAACAAAACTTTCATAAAAAAGACCGCGCCGCCGTTGTTCACACATTCTTTATGTGTTTGATTTCATGCTTCTACTAGTATTTCTAATCGCACGTGCGGTGGCCCACGATAAAAATACGCATGGATTTACCGAACTGATAAAACATCGCGGGAGTGGGGAAGCGCACGTAGCCGCTGCTAGCTCCATTCGAGTAAAGACCGCGATAAGACTGCAGAAGTTAACGTAATTATACTAGTGAAAAAAGAAGTGGATTGCAGTGAGTTTTGTTCATATCGCGATTGTTTATATCTGGTATTTTTGATTTCACAAGTAATGATGTATTTGTTTATTCATAGAGATTTGTATGCACACTGTGCATAATTAAATAAGAGCGATTTATTAACATGTTATTATTTTATTTCAGTTTATAATAATGGATAGTTGGCTCAAAACGGGGCGCCTCGCAAGTGGAAAAAATGTTTTAGCATGTTCACCAGCAGAAAATAATAAAAATATTTCGGAAATAGATGTTTCTAGTTTGTCAGTAAGAAATAAGAATATTATATACCTATTATAAAAGCCTTATTTATAAACCTATTATTAGTTTATTACATTTTTATTACTATATTTGTTACTATATTTGTTGATTTTGTACAAAATTATAATATATTTTCTTTATAAAATTGAAATGCCTGAGGGCGCAGGGGCACCTATGGCCAATTTTTAATTTAATTTTTATTTTATTTAAATTTAAATAATTATAAATATAACAACAAGTATTGTCAATTAATTTCAGGATTTGGTAAATACTGGACAGGAACGACAAAATAAACTTGTTAGTGAAATTGTTTTACCTCAGGAGAGAACTACTTCTAAAAAAAGAAAATATGACGAATCGTATTTGTCCTTTGGGTTTATTCTTGTCGGAATGGCTGAGAATCCGGATGGACAATGCGTTATTTGCAACAAAATAATGTGTAATAGTTCATTGGTACCGGCAAAGCTAAGACGACACCTTGACACCAACCACCCGCAACTGAAAGATAAAAGCTTAAGCTTTTTTGAAAGACACAAAGAAGTACAAAAAACTGGCGTGGCTGCTTTACACAAATATGCAAAAACAAATAATGAAAACGCAACAGAAGCATCATTCATGCTAAGTTACAGAATCGCTCGTGCTGGTAAGCCACACACAATTGCAGAGGATTTAATAAAACCATGTATGACAGAAATCGTCAGCTGCGTACTCGGTGAAGATGCAGCGAAGAAAATTACAGCAGTTCAGTGTTCTAATAACGTCATATCTGATCGAATTCATAAGATTTCAGACCACATTCAAGATGAATTAATTTGTAGATTGAAGAACAGCAAGATGTTTGCAATACAATTAGACGAAAGTACAGATGTCGCCGGGCTATCAATATTGCTTGTTTTTGTGAGATACCCCTTCAAAGGATCTATTGAAGAGGATTTGTTTCTCTGCGCACCTTTAGAAACTAACACAACTGGAGAAGAAATTTTTAAAGTTATTGATAGTCACATGAGTAGGCACCATATTGAGTGGAACAAATGCATTGACGTGTGCAGTGACGGAGCAGCAGCTATGATCGGCAAAATAAAAGGCACTGTAACAAGAATCAAGAGTGTTGCACCTAAATGTAGGAGCAGTCACTGCGTTTTACATCGTCATGCTCTTGTCGCGATGAAAATATCATACGAGCTTAAGACAGTTCTCGATCAAGCTGTACAAATTGTGAATTACGTCAAATCACGTCCACTCCAGTCAAGGCTTTTTAAAAAAGTGTGCGAAGATATAGGAAGTCAGCATCAATCACTTTTTCTTCACACACAAGTGAGATGGCTCTCAAGAGGAAGAGTTTTATTGAGGCTATTTGAATTGCGCAACGAGCTTAAGATATTTTTCACCAAACAATCCGGTTCTGCATCTACTGACGCGTTTGTTGATTTATTGCATGATGAGGTATGGTTAATAAAATTGGCTTACTTGGCCGATATATTCAATAAACTTAACGTAATCTGCAAAGCCCTACAGGGAAAAACCACGAATATATTTACAGTAAATGACAAAATTTCTTCACTTGAAAACAAAATTGACTTCTGGATTGAATGTGTTGATCAACATAATTACGAATGTTTTATTATTTTAAATGACTTTCTGAAAGAAAATGAGTTGCAAGTAACTTCAGATGTGGAAAAAAATATACATGAGCATTTAATAAGCCTAAAAAAATCCTTGAAAGAGTATTTTCCGAAGAAGTTACAGGACATGAACTGGTTGCAGAATCCATTCGCAGATCATACCAAACCATCAATGCTTACTGTGTCAGAGTATGAGAATTTAATTGATATTAAATGTTCATCTTCTCTTAAACAAAAATTTGGAGCTGAAAATTTTGATCTAAATAATTTTTGGATTGGACTTCAAGATGAATATCCTACAATTGTTGAGAAAGCTATTACAATTCTGCTTCCGTTTGTGACGACTTACCGATGCGAGACTGGTTTTTCAGCTTACGCTTACACCAAAAACAAGTACAGAAATAGACTTGATGCAGCTCCAGATCTTCGCATTCAATTAAAAAAAATTAGAAAAAATTTCATTCTTCTAATTAAAATATTAAATTGATAAAAACAGGCACTTAGTTACATTGTATTTCTTTGTACAGTAAATGTTTTTTAATACATAAAATAATTGTTTTTCATTTATATTTGTTCTTTCTTTTCATATCAAACATAAAAATATAAAACTACTAGGTGATAATTTTAAGTTATCAAACTAGGGTTCCGCAAAAAAATGTATAATCGATTAGGGTTCCGTGGCAAAAAAAAATTGGGAACCGCTGGATTAGAGCACCAACGCCGTTATCACCTTGTTGTTATCAAAAAAAAAATTGTTATCTTAAATAATATATCATCACTCATATCAATAATTATTATTGTATATTATGTACAATTATTGTACAATGATTAATATAATTTTATTAAAATTGTCATTAGATAAAAATGGTAGTCAAGTTGTACTTAAAAAAAAAAAAAACAATAATAACAATAAATTTCATCGAAGTTAAATAATATATTAAATATATTATCACTCATTATTGTCCATTAAATTATAATTCATTATTTTATGCTAAATACTAATTTATGGATTATGAAATATTTAAAATACATAAAGTATACATTAGTTATTGTAAATTATAATTTTTTATTTCTTTAATCTTATACTAAGAAGAATAATAATATAATATCATCCTTTATTGATTAAATTTAGAACTTTTTATTATTTAATTATAATAATATTTATTGCAACCACAAGAATTTACAAAATAACATCAAATACAATATTTCAAAATCAATTTAACATATTATTATTATATTATTAAGAATATAGTTTTTTATACATAGTTAAACACTTTTTCAAATTCCAAAATGCTGGCCACAAAATTAGGAATAACATCTTTATTAATCATTATAATAAATAAATATTAATACATATATTCTAAAAAGTATTTTATTTAATTTAGATTGTGTACTGATTAATTATCATATCTGATATCTAGGGTAAGTAGTAGGTAATTTATAATTTAAATAGTGTTATTTTGAGGTATTCTTTTTTTAGTTTAATTTATATAGTTCTGTATTTTTTGAGAGTATAGACTATATTTATTCAAAAAACTAAACAAATATTAGTATTAACTTAACGGATTGCATTAGCTGAGTATTAGTGTAAACGTAAAATTCACTTAGAAATCAAATAAATAAAGCCATAATTCCCAAAGCATTAAGTATATATATTGCTTAAACTGAAAAAGAATGCATGTATATTATTATTGTATCTCAAAAATGACATGGATGAATGAGGTATTTTTTTCAAGTGTAGAAGGTAGAATGTAAAAATATTTATAGGTAATAAATTATTAATAATATGCTTTAATACACATTTTATAATTTTTAATTTTAATTTTGAATATTAAGTGAAATATTTTTTAACATTAAAGGTAAGTATTTTATTCACAAGTATTAATACTAATAGGAAAAAGTTATACATACAATCTAGGTAAATATTAAAAATACCTAGCTAAAAACTTTTTTTCATAAAATATTAATTTGTTATAAATTAAGTTTAGTACCAACATTCATCCATTCAACTATTTAGATTAGAAATACTTTAACACTACAACAGTACATTAAAATAATATAATTAATTAAAAATAAATAAATAAACTAGAAATAACTATAACAACTATAAATTAATTTTACTTGATTTTACAAAATGTTCAATGATGACGACATATTATTGATTTTTTTGAATTTTAATAATTCCATTAATACATTCATAGTTATTTGAAATATTAAAATTGATATCCTGAAAAATAATTAAAACCTTTTTTAGCCTATTTTTAGATAATAAAATTAAATTAATAGTATTTAAATAATTAACTTACATTTAGAATGTTGATGTTAGTATTATTTGTACTTAGTGTAATAGAAATACATTTGCACTAAAATAATGAATTGTGAAAATAGAATACGTAAATGTTTACATATTTAATCTCCATACATGAGATGATTGGAACATAACAGTTAATTCAATAAAAATGTATCAATTAGTTATCAATCATATTTTGTATTCTTAGTCCTATACTAGGTCCTACGACCTGAGTTTAGACCACTTGTGTATTATACAACATTGTCACGGTTCAAAATTAATGTATAAACACTCATTAAATTGCTTGGCATACAATACATTAAAAATAGTTTCATGTTTCATATTCTCTTGAATTATCTGTAAGGTTTTTTTTTAAGAATACTTGAGTAGGTGATATAATTTACTTGCTGGATGAATAACTGTCATGAATCATGATTGACATGATTACAGTAACATCGAAGTTCAGTTATTATAGATATAATGTACTTTATATCTAAGAGTCCAACACATAATATGATGGTGGTCATTGGTCATTAATTTTTGAATAATATTCAATGATCATGTTGTATACATATAATTGACATTGATATTACATTATTACGCATAACTTTTACGAAACACCAAACATTTTTTGACAAACATCGAAAAACGAATCACATGTTCACGTACATACTACATAACGTTATTATGAATCGCGGTTTTTAATGTGGAAGAGAGAAGAGTCGACCTCTCACTTCCGCAGAGGATATATTGTTAGGTTATGTTCAAATAATTAAAAGTTCTTTTATTACCTATGAGAATTATGGAAATAAATTATCTATGTATTTATTTTATTTTGAAATCAATTATTTATATTATTCAAATAAATTATTTTTAAAGCGCTAGCAATATATTTGACGTTATTACATAATTTATATTAATATTACCTAAGAATAATAATCATTGACATTTTTATAATAACATTATGATACCCATTACCCAATATAACATCATGAAAATATTACACCAATTGCTGGTATGATAACATTATTTTATTATTTATGACTAGCACCGATGAAACTCGCTGTAAGTGAATACCCTAGGTCGGTGAAACTCGCTGTATGTGAATACCCTAGGTCGGTAAAACTCGCTGTATGTGAATACCCTAGGTCGGTAAAACTCGCTGTATGTGAGTACCCTAGGTAGCTGAATATCGTTTGAAGTGAATTTCCTAGGTCGGAGACAGGACTTAAGAATACAGCAGTTAGAAAAGTCTAGTAGGCAAAACCAGTGATAACGACGAATGAGATGTTGGTACCTCTGATTTGGTGGCTCTACACTTTGGCGGTGTCGTTTTAAACGCGTAAATAATAAGTCTAATTCGAGCATCTAGTGGTCGGTCATTTCATTAAATTCACAGGAGTAATACACCTTGTCCCGTAG